GCCATTTTCGAGACTGCTCGTGCCATCGCGCATGGGCCGAGCGGGCGCTGGGCCACGACGTTCGTTTCATGTGATCCTGGCACTGGTCAATAAATGCTTTGAAACAGCTGAAAAATTAAACTTCATTTTACATGAAAAATTAAACTTCATTTTGCATGAAAAATTAAACTTTCATTGATCTAGTTTGGCATGTAAAAACTGAAGCACGTTTCATTTGAAAAGTGTCAACTGAAAAATAATTGAGGCAGAATTTAAGCAAGATAGTAAAAAAGTAAACGAAACTAGATGAAAAATGCGCACAAAATGCATACACACTAAAGGATGCACACAAGCTCTTGATCTGCTCCATAAGCTAGATCAAAGATGAGAAACTCGTTGTCGTGTAAAAAATTAGGGTCTTAAAGTCCAAATGGAAACTAGCATACGTTGAATTTCACAATATTTGGTATATCCACCGCTTTTCTTCAAGTTTTGCAATAAAAAAAAAAGGCGAGTTGTATAGTGTATTTGAGTTTGAAAAATAATATCCTTGAATTACCGAAAAAATATTGTTTATATTGTGAGAAAGAACAGAAGTAACTTCCGATCTCGCCATCTTTGATTATCGTGTGATCGTAAACCCACTTTCAATTTATCCTTTTGAGCAACTGTATATTCATTTCATGCGCACCCTCAAGGTTGCTGCAACTACCGTATTTTCTCGAATAAGCAACCGTGCGTTTGTTTAAAATTTCGCCCAACACTGAGGAGGAGTGCTTAATTGGAAGGAGGACGCTTAATCGAGGGGGCGCTCATTAAGTTTTCCTTTCGACAAACTTTAACTATATTTTGGCGCCATGATATCTGTAAGAGGATAACAAAAGCTCCTACGTTTTCTATAACAAATTATCTATGTAGACACTTAGTTCAATAGAGAAAATGTAAATTAAGCGACAATAGAAACAGGTTTTCCTTCTATCCCTACTCATTTAAGAAAGTAAGGGAGATTGCGGGGGGTACTTATTTGAGGGGGGCGGTTGTTTGTGACCTTATGGCTCAGGGATTGGTGCTTATTCTGGAGAATAAAGGCGCTTATTGGCTATAGAGCGTGGGCGCTTTTTCGAGGTGGTACTGTATCTATAAAATATCTAAGATAGCGCACGCACTCTCATTAGTCGATAGGTGATTTTAGATGAGAGTGTGTAAACAGCGTTGCACTTGACACTTCGTGTCTTAATTTGACGAATAATTTTAGAAATATTTCAGAAAAGTAATACAGGACTCTTTTCATGTTTACATAATCTTTCTAAACACCCGCGGGGTTGGGAGAATTCTAGAAATTTATGCAAACCCTGAGCGGCGTCTCGGGTTTGTACAACTTTCTCTAGATCTTCCAACCTAACTCGTGCCTTGAGAGGTTATGCAGACTCAGACTCAAAACAATAACATTCATTCATTGTTTTGGCATCATTCGAGGCAATAATCACAACTGGTCTTTGAATCTTTTATGTTCATGGCGTAAGATTATTCATTTGGCGACCTTGATAGCTTTCAGAACTGCCGTGTTAAACACATCTTAACGAATAATAACACACTACTGAGAAGCGGCATGTCATACTTTAAACAAAGCAAGCTGTTTTCTTACATAAGCCTCAACTATACAATCATTGGTCAAAGCTTATTGAATTGATATCCTTTAATTGTTCGGGCCTACCCAGAAGAGTTATGTTAAAAACAAATAATAACTTTTTGTTCGCGGTAGGATGTTACAATATTTTTTTCCGAGACTTTGTTTTGAGAACTGCGGTATACTACTTAAGAAAACTAGTTAATTGCGTTCAGACTAATGAAATTTATATCGCAAGCAGTTATCATCAAAAGACATTTCAAGTCAAAGCCGAAGTCTGGTATAAGTAATGTGGATTTCAGTGTTTGCAAACTGGTATGGAATTTCAATTAATCTTGCTTTCACCAGAAGGACCGGCTGAATTTGCAGCCTAGCGAGGTTCATATGATGGTCGAGCCTTAACTGTATTCTAATATTTAAAAACTTGTTTTGGAAATCCGTTATTACAACAGTTATCAAACGTCTTACAATCAAGGCTATAAGGTAAGGAACGACAGAGATATCTATTTGCTAACGGCACATGAAATGGTGATCGAATGATGGGGTTGCGCTAAATTTTAGATATTAAGGCTCTCAAATTCAATCCTAAAATCATTCTTTAGATTTTCTTCTATATTTGCATTTGGATTCTTTTTTATTTTTTTTACTAGAACTCACCTCTCTTATTGTTCGAATATTACTCACTAGCGGGTGAAAGGAAACAACAGCTGCTCCTCTACACTTTTTTCACCGTCATCCTGAGAGTTTTTTACGATAGAGTGGATTTATTCCAAAGATATCATGAATTTTTGCGACTTTATTGAAAGTTTAAATATGATGGGGTTAGTCGTTAGCCGTAAAATGGCAACAAATTTAGCCGTTAGGCGTAAAAAATTGACAAACCTGGCCCTTTAGTCGTAAAAAGAGTTTTCTGTAACAATTTTTTTTTTTACACGTATAAACGAAAACAAATTGACCTCAAGCCATAAAATGGTCAAACTTTAAACCATCAGCTGTAAAAGCCATTATCTCATTTAGACCCTCTTCAATGCGGTAATAGCACAAAATTTCGCATTAAGACCCCAAAAGACACAAACACACAAAAAGAAATGACTGGAAATGATTAAAAAAATTGAATTTATTGACTTGTAAATCATAGAATTATGAAAGAAAAATCCAGAAATTGAGTCATCGCAAATTTAAACGATGGACATGAAAATGTAAAGATTAAAGTTTTCGTGACGGGAATAAATTATTTTCTCGATGCGTGTCCACTCCATAACTTAACTATCGATATAGTTTTGAGAGAAATTGAGAAACAATAGTTTTTCCAAACAACGGTTGCTTGAAACTAAAACCTATCTCAGCTATAGTCGGGAGAAGGTTTTTTAGTACCAATTGGCAGTAATTTTCTTTCCTTATAATTCATGGTGATTTTTAATAGAATGATTTTAATATATATGTTAATAATAGGGTGTGTTTTTTTTTTTATAAAAGTATAGCAAGTCTCAAGAGTCAGAGCCGAAGTGCTGGCTGTTGAAGAAAAACTTATCTCTCAGTCCCAAAGATGTTGGCTAACGTGACCACCACGATGAATGGAACGCAAGCAACGAACTGCCTCGATCCTTCAGTTGTTAAAAAAGGAAAGACTTTTGCTTTTTGTCTGCTTTTTGTAGTTTCGCTGGTTGGAAATACCTTGATCGGAGTAATTATCTACAGGACGAAATCCCTGAGAAAGCCCGTCAACTTCTTTATCGCAAACATGGCCGTGTCAGATCTGCTCATTCCGATTTTCCTGTTTCCGATGAAGTTGGTAGGATTATACACCGAATCATGGAAAGGGGGAGATGGTCCTTTCGGTCAGTCTTTGTGTAAGTTGGTTCACTTCTCAGTGGATGCCTCCGCGGTAGTGTCAATTCAAAGCCTGGTACTGATTGCAGTGGATCGATTTGGAGGTGTGGTTGTTCCCCTCCGTGCCCCACTCATCAGCTCAAAGAAGTGCCGGTTCTATATTCTTGCCACTTGGATCATCGCTGTAGCTGTTCAATGCCCAAATCTGTTCGCCTTAAAAGTCGTCGAGTATCAAGGAGGGCTGCAGTGTTACCTGCAGTGGAACGATGCATTTGGAGAGTCCTTTTCCTACCAAGATTACATCCTCGCGAAACACATAGTATTTTTATTCATTCCTCTAATCCTCATTGCTGTACTTTACTTTTTAATTGCATTAAGAATCAAATCTCGGAAGGTTCCGAGGGACTATTCTTTCAACGCAAGGAGACAAGGTTTGAGGAGACATCGAAATGCTCTGAGAATGTTTATTGTAATAGTGTTTGTTTTCGCAATCTGTTGGCTGCCTTTTTCTGTCATTTGGCGCCTACATGGCGTCAAATTGTCTTGCAGTTTCCAATATTTCCAACGTATTGCCTATTTTTTAGCAATATCAAACTGCGCCATAAACCCTTGTATCTGTTTTATTTCCAATGCAAATTATCGTCAGGCCCTAACAAATCTTCTCAGCTGTTATTCAGCTTCTCCCAGGGCTTATAAAGCTGTGGTGTAATCGTGACCCGACTGTTTCCGTGTTTCTCCGAGACACTGAAGATTTATTTGCAGAGCTTTTTAATTTGCAACTTACAAAAAGTTACCATGGGAAACGAAAATTTCATTTAAGAAATTATAGCCACAACTGATTCAATACATTTATATTAAGTACTCTCGAAAGTATATCGTTTTATGACGTCATTTAAATTGTTGGTACCTTATCGATAATGACTCTTGACCAGTTAGGCGGTAGAATTTCTTCAATATACACCATGATTTCGTTACTCAGCCACGGGAGTCTCATTTAAAGAGAAACAAGTAGAAATTCGGTATCATGGTAGTTCTGTGACTATTGCAAAAATACTTGAAAATAAGACTAGCATATGTACAGTGCATAGGGTCATCTTCCCTTTAAGTTGCAAGTCTTGTTATTGATATTCCATTATTGTCTTTAGAAAGGAAATAAAGATTGAAAAGGAAAGAAAGGAAAACAGTTCTTTCTTAACTCCTTGACCAGTAAGAGTGACACGCATCTAATTTCTCCTTACAATATCACCCTAGAGCCACTTATTAAGGTCACGAGAATGAAGAAAATAATCACCAACTAAAGTTCTTGATTGTTAAACAAATTCTCCCAGTGAAAACCTCGGGAAATGGATGAAGAATAGTAAGGAGAATATGCATACTGATGTTAGGGTGTAAAGGATTACAAAGTGGGAACTTTAGTACCAGCTTACTTAAGCTATCTCTGATCCATTGTTTAGTCTTACCCACCCTACCCTTATTGTTGCATTACTTTACGGAGGAGCGGGGAGGGGTTCGGAGAATTTTGTTTGTGTCTCGATAAAATTTTCCTTATCCCCCCATAAGCCCCCCATAAGGCTCAGTAATCTTATGATTCCCCTCATTGGTAGTCAATTTTCCATAGTCTCCACTTCATACACTATTGGCGACGACATGCGATCCTCCTAGAATCTCCCTTCTTCTAGAATCCTCCTCTCCTTGCTGAAAGACATATTCGAAGATTTGCTGAGCGCCGAACGAGGCCGAACAGACGGCATACATTTTGAACATTTATGCACGGTGCCAATGAAATGGTTCGTTCGAGAGGCTTATTATATTATACCACAATAAAATTTATGAAAGAGAAATCAACGAAAATAGATGTCCTATGAAGAAACTTTCGATGAGAAACGCAACAGTAGATGTATGAAATGAAAAAAGATGTTTATAAGCTGTAAATCTACTCCAGAAGGCCAACCAGAATATAGATGGAAGACATTTGAAGAGATAACTAGCTGCTCGAAGACTTTTAGAATTAACATGAGATTTCGCGGATCACGAGTAGATACGATTGTTGCACATGTTTTGCGACCAACAAAAAAACGAATGATGTGTTGTATTTGAGTTCGTTAGTTCATATCGTTGATTCTTAGTTGTTGTTGAAAAAAAAAATATTTGAAAATGATTATTCTCATTCTACTTGGCACGTTATTTTGTTTGAAATGTTTATGCATGTATTGGTTATTTCCAAGAAAAAAGAGCGACCGTAACAACAGCTCGATAACAGATTTTCCCCGATTTTTGATTAACTTAAATAGCTACATAAAACGTCTTCAAAAGCACTGTGAAAAATAGTTTTTCAGAATGTTCGAGGCTTAACAGAGAAACAACATGTCATTCTTTAAAAAAAACCAGATGTTTTCTTATGTTAAGATAGGGACAAAAGACTTTTGCTGGGAGCAATAAAATGAGTAAGTTTATTGACTTATTTACATTTTAGGAGAATTTTATGACTTAAAACGACTGATGGATTTGCGTTTGAGTGAAGGAAATAGAATGGAACTAAATAGTTCGCTCAAACGAGAATAAACTAAAACTGAACTTATCTCAGCTATGACAAGAGGAAGCTTTGAGTGTCAATCACAATTTACTCATAACGATTCTGCCTCGAGAAATTGTATTAAAAATGTTAATAATCAGGTTTGTTTTATGAAATGAAAGTTTAAGAACAGCCGCCAAAAGTAGAACACTACCAGCTGTAGACACTGACTTCAGTTTCAGTCAGATGAGGATGTCGGCAAACTTGACTGCTCAAATGAATGGAACACAAGCATTAAGCTTCTTCAACCGTATGCATGAAGTAACAAGAATTGGACTGACCTTCTATCATTGCCTGATTTTCGTTGTATCACTGATCGGAAATATCATCATCGGAATTATTGTCTACAGGACGAAATCCATGCAAAACCCAAGCAACTTTTTCATCGCAAACATGGCCATGTCAGATCTGATATTACCGATTTTCCATTTTCCGTACTTTGTAACGAAGATTAACTTCGGCTGGTTGACGAGTGGTCCCCTTGGACAAGCCTTGTGTAAACTAGTATTCTTTTTGCCAGATACTTCTTGTCTTGTGTCGATTCAGAGCCTGGTTTTAATTGCAGTGGATCGATTTGGAGCAGTATTTTTTCCCCTCCGTTCCTCACTCATCAGTTCAAAGCAGTGCTGGCTCTTCATACTCGCCACTTGGATCATTGGTGCCGCTGTTCATATCCCACACCTGCTGAGCTTTAAACTTGTTGAGAATCAAGAAGGGCTGTCATGTGAGCACAAATGGAACGACGCATTTGGGGATTCCTCGTCTTTCCCAAACTACGCAGTACCAATGCTTGTAGTTTTCTGGCTTGCCCCTATGGTTTTGATTGCCAAAAGCTTATTTTAAGAAATAAATTCTCAGGTCATTGGGCTCAAAATTGGGTACAAATTTCAATTTTTAATTCTTGGGGTCCAAGGGGTTCACACACTACATTATGAAACTAGGGCTTGGAATTGGACATTTATGAGTTCCTTGGGTGAAAAAAGTCTTGATTTCAATTAGAAAGGGGGCAAGTTTCCCTTCTTTGGCCCTGAAATACGACAAAGCTTCCAGACGCATGTTGCGTGGTAAGGTGGTTTTTTCACTCAAGACGTTTTCATTCCGTCAAATGTGAAACCTGAACAAGAAAACGTCCTTTAATTACTTAAACGGTGTGATCACATACAAAAGCTGAAGCTAATCTCAAAATGTCCGAAGAACAAACTTCATTTTTGGTATTGTTCCATGCTTTTGAAACGGTTTTCACTCCTTCGATAATCTTCGTAAATTTTCGCGCTTTTGAGTTTCCCCATGAACGATGTCTTGCAATCGCATACGTGTATGATCAATCGTTTATGCAACGTGCCCATGAACTGCTGTTTGTTCAAGAGGCGGATCAACGGCTTTTTTTTCCTTTCCTCAAAGCTCACTTTGACTTTTTTCTTTGATGTCGTTTTTGTCTTTCTTTGGTTTTTGTTTTGCCTTTTCGTTTTCGTTTTTTTTATTACTCTCTGTATTTGGTTCAACTGTCGTTGTTAAGACTATACTACAATAAAATTCATAACAAGTTAACAAAAAGAGATTTCAAATGAAGGGAATATAGATGCAAAACTCATTAGCAAATGCGTTGAATGTGAAAAGATGTTTACAAGCTGGAAATCTACCCCAGAATGTAGATAAAAGAGGACAAACTTTGAGCTGTCCAGAGACTAAAGATACAAAATCTAAATACTGATCGCGATTAGATACTGAGTGATAACATGCAATTACTTGCACGTGAGAGTGCTTCAAATTTTCATCGTGTTCTCCAAAGGACATGGCTGCACGTTTAAGTTTATGGTTTATGTTTATGGCAAGATTACAACATGATGCGTTAGAATTCCAAAATGATTAAATAGATCGAGGTGATGACGACGCACCATTCGCGTATAAAATTCTATTAAAGGTTCTTTTTTCCTGCTCTTAAGTAACCCCCTTTAGTTAACTATATTCTCTGTAGCAAATGCGAACTTTTACATGCAAATGAAAGCCGGCAACTGTTTTCATACGCCGACGTCAAGAGTGGTTCTTTTTTATCTGCTTTGTTTCTAGATATCCTAATTTCCTCCAATGTTCCTTCGTTCCTTAAGATTCCTAAGATTTGATTCGCATTTGTATTCAAAATTTCTAGTTATTACAAGATTACTCACTGGTTGGAGATAATGGAAGGAAAAGATATGTTCCTCGCCTGTTGGAATATATTGTTAATTAATTCAGGTGGATTGAGAGGCTATTTTGTCTAAAGTGCAATTTCTTTAGAGGTTGATTTAAATTATTAAAAAAGGACAGCCTGCTTAATTGCATTTGTGCCTTTGAGTCCATTGTAACCTCTTTTTACAATGAATGTCTTTGACTTTAACCATACTTCGATAATATTGTACTAGCCGTTCTTTATGATTGCTTACAGGAGGACAATTCATTTCCAGATTTCGTTCAACCCCCATTTTTTGAAAACCACAAGACATTTAAAAAGTTTTTGGTGAAACAACATGTTAAAATCACTCTTTTTTATGAAATTAGGGTCAAAACATCATTAGTAAGGGAATATACAGCTAACCTACTCGCGAAGTAATATTCTATGTTATCCCTAAACATGCTCAATGAGTTAAGTTGATAACATATATAAAACATCGTAAAATTTCAATGAAAACCTCCTTATTTAAATCGTCTTTGTTACACAGCGACTATTTAGAGATACAATTGAAAACTCCTAGGTATGAGGAGCGAATTTTGGACCCCTGGATGTAAGGAAAGCATTCACGATCAATATCGACATCTGCACGCAGATCCTCGGATGTAAGGTTTTTACTCGAACTAATTGTGGACCAAATGGGCTGAGAAATTTCCCACTGAAATGACATCAAGAAGTTTTCCCACCCAAACAACAAATAAATGTCCAACTTCTCGAACCGAAAGACTGAAAGTTGTGCATAATTATGGAGCAAATTTGTTGAGAACTCTTTATCAATTTATTAGAATTATCTCTTAAACAGCACTTCAAAAGAATATTTTTGAGACCATGAAGATGATTTCCAACAAACAAGACTTTATTTTCTATCTATATTTCTATGCCACATAATATTTAAACTCATTTTAACTAGATCTAATTAATAACTTTTTACTCAAATTTTCAACGTGCCAAATGTAGTTTACAAGATTGGATTCTGGTTTACCTGCTTTCAATGTTACACACTTTAAACCTGTGAGCATTTTTGGGGGGCGTAGACTAAGCATTACTTCAAAATTTTAAACTGGGGCCACAAATGATCCATTGCCGATCCTTCTATTGTGGTTATTGACTTCTTAATCTTTTTCACTTAAATACAATGCATACAAAGCAGCACCTCGAGAGATTTTTAAGACCTTGGTGATAGTTTCCACTGAAAATAAAAGAGATGCAAGGGTTTATAGCACTGTTAAAATGAGCCAGACAGGAGGCAATAAGTGCGAAATATTGAAAGCCGCAAGATGCCGTCATAGTGCTGTCTGGTTGGTAGGAGACAAGGAACCACCGGATAGTACCGGGCAGCCAGCATATTATGAACGTTACCACGATGGCAATTGACATCTTCAGCACATTTTTCTGTCTGCGCGACTGTTGTTCTCTTCCGTTGGCCGATCCCTCGCCCGGAATATTCTGAGATTTTAGTTTAATAACAACGGTCATGTAAAGTATGGCAATCAAAACCAAAGGGACATACCAGAATATTACAAGCATTGAAAATACGTAGTTTCGGTGACTCAGTGACTCTCCAAATACTTCATTCCACTTGGGCACACATACCAGCCCTTCCTGATACTCAACAAGTTGGAAGGCCATCGCCTTTGGGATATAAGCAGCAACCGCAATGATCCAAGTGGTGAGAATAAAGAACCGGCACTGCTTTGAACTGATCAGTGGAGAATGGAGAGGAAAAACTACAGCTCCAAATCGATCCACTGCTATAAGAACCAGACTCTGAGTCGACACGGAAGCAGAGACATATACGAGGAAGTCATGTAGCTTACACAAAGCTTGTCCTACAGGACCACCTAACAACCAGTAGCTGAAGTTAATTTCTGCTACAATGTATGGAAAACAGAGAATCGGAAACAACAGATCTGACATGGCTATGTTTACAATTAAAAAGTTGATTGGTTTTCGCATGGATCTCGTCCTGTAGACTATAATTCCAATGAAAATGTTTCCCATCAGTGCCAGAACAAAAATCAGGCAGTAATAAAAGGAAATTCCGATTCTTTTAGCTTCATGGTTGAAGCAGCTCGAAGTTTGAGTTCCATTCATTGTTGCAGTCCTGTTTACCGACATCATTGACACTGAGAAGTCAGTGTCCGCAGCCGGTAGTTCTCCGAGAACTAATCTTTGGCTACTATCTATACGCTTTCCTTGTTTGAACAAAGTAACCTGATTATCAGCATTTTCAGCAAAATTGATCAATGTAGAATCGCCATGAATAAAAACAATTGACACTCAAAACTTTCCTCTCGTTCTAGCTGAGATAAGTTCAGTGGCAGTCCATCAGTCTAGTTTGCGGAAAGTATTGAGACGGTATTGTCTCTCTCTCTCCAGGCTCTCTCTTTTTGTAATTGGTTTTACTCATTGTGTCAATGCATTCGGTTTTCTTGATGTGTTTAAGACTTTAGGTATATTGCAGCCAATCATCCATCAGTCAAAGACTACACGCTCTATTGAAGACAATTTGTTCTATAGTTGAGAATCCCCTGCGAAGCAGAAGAGAACCAGTTGTTGCTCATAATTGTCTTACCTAGGAAACGAGGAAATCGAATAAAACAGTTCAGACAATGTAACCATGTTTACAATTAAAATGTTGATTTACTTTTTCAAATATTTTGTCTTGTTGACAATAGGAAGAGTAAATTATGTTACCATAATATCTCTTGAAACCAGACAATAAGAAAAAGTTTTCGCGACTCTTTCATCTTTAGGATTGACTGCGCAGCTTGAAATGAGCTGTGTTTCAGCCAATGCTG